TTAAAGATCTCCTTTGGGTTTGTGATTTTTTTGTCTACCAAAAGCAACTGTAACCATAGAACTATGCACCATATTATTTCATAGAACATACATGAGGCTTTTATCTTTGTATATGCATTGTTATACCTTGCAGTCGTTGAGTTCAACGGTCATCTTTCTTCGGTCAGTGACAAAGTATGGAGACAGATATCCGCGATCAAATTGCATTCCTTCTACAATCTCTAGACTATTCTCAATACCCCTTCCTTTTTCAATTGTCACTACGCCGCCCTTGCCTACTTGATGTAGAGCATCAGAAATCATGTTTCCGACTGTATAATCATTCCCGGCACTGACTGCAGCAACATCTGTAAGTTCATGATCCTCAACCTACAAATGCAACCAATGTTGCTGAGTTCAGCATTTCAGCAAGATCTTCCAACCAAAGGCAATAATTTCAGGCAGAAAAAACCATAATCAATCAACATCTGCAGCCAGATAATTCAGATTATGATTCTGAGAATGTCCAAATTCCAATCCCCTGAGTGTTTTAAAAAACTCAGAAAAAAACATACTAAAAAGTATAGCTTACTTCTCTAGACATCAAAGTCAGTTCAGAAACAAGGGCTATTGCAGTCTTCTCAATCCCGCGAGCAATTTGAACCGGATTCATTCCAGCTGTAATAACCTGCAAAAGGAGATAAAGAAGAGAATGTTAAGAGTTCAAATTTCAGAACACCCTATTTAATGAAGACTATATAATCATTGATATCTTAATTAACAACAACATGGGACTGAAAACTATAATGTTTTTCCAATCACTTTATATGCTAATTTTTCCTTTCACAATTCAAATAAGCTAATATCCAATCACTTGTTTTGATTGAAGTAGATAAGATAAATAATATGTACCTTTATCCCTTCTGTGATTAGGCCATGGGCAAGAATAATAGATGTCGTTGAACCATCACCAGCAAGGTCATTGGTTTTTGCACCAGCTTGTCTCACCAATTTAACTCCAACATTCTCTAATGGATCTTCCAATTCAATCTTAAATAACATAAGAAACAATCAGTAGTTCATAAAAGAAATTTAAGAAACCATGTGCTATTAGACATGAAAACAGAGAAGTTAATTAAATTACACATGAAACTCATCACTAAACTTTGCTGACAAAGATGACTTTTGCTATTGCCATATACATCTGATCATTGAAAATTCATTATCTGTTCAATGCAGAAAGAAAAACCAAAGAAAACTATTCTAGAGATTGGATTCCAGAACTATAAAAATATCCACAAAGTTAGCATGACATAACTCTCAATGTTATAATTCCAAAGCAGTGATTTAAATTATGAACCACATCACCTTATGCGGCTGCAATATTGTGGTTGTGGTGGCCACCGCAACCGCATCACACCGTAATTGTAGTGTGGCTGCGAATGACAATGATACGGCCACATCGGACCGCATTTGAACAACATCAAGTTGCATTGGATTCAAAAATATTGTTTTAATCACAAAAATAATTCATACTACAACCGCAATCTACATCGCGACGACTGCAATGACCGCAACCACATAAACACAACCGTTATCGCAATCGCGACCACAACTGCAATTTAAAACAGAAGTACAAAAGTGTTCACAAATCACCTCCAAAATTGGAAAGAGAAAAAGAAGCTTAAATATTGTCAATTTATCATTTATCATACCCAGTAACAAAAAACTTAGAACTAAGCTAACAGCATATAACATAGTACAAATTAGAAAATAAAAAAACCTCTTTGAGAACAGTTTCTCCATCATTTACTATCTTGGGTGGTCCATACTTATTATGCAGCACAACATTTCTTCCCTTTGGACCCAAAGTAACTCCAACAAGTTTTGCCACCATATCCACTCCTGCCTTTACCAAAACCAAACAAAATAATGTTAACACAAAACAAATTCTGGGTGTTGAAGTACTAGAGTCTAGAATCCTTACCAAAAGCTTCTTTGTGACCAAGCCATCATGGTTGAAGTAAAGATCTTTGGCCACTCTGGAGTTTGGAACAGAAGGTGGAGTTCTAGGTTTGGGAAATGATGGATTGGTGAAGGAGAATGCAGATATATAAGATGGAGAACATGTCATGGCTTGTTTTGTTGGAGTAGTAAACAAGTATTATTAACTTTGTGTTTTGCAGTACGTAGTGTATTATCATGTAACATGTGTTGAATAAAGGTTTGGAGCATAGACAATGTTATAGGATAAGATTAAAATACAGAAATATCTCTGCATTCTTTTTTCACTTCACTTATTTCTTTCTTTCAGACACAAGATCTTTAATTAAGTTAGAACAAACATAGATAATATTTTAAATTTACTTTCACTCCTCTCTACATTTTAACTACTATTATTACATATCCATCACCATGTCATGACATTTATTGTCACTCATCTCTTATTAATTTTCCCAAATGGTTTACTTGCTACTTCTATATTTCTTGCAATCTAACTAATAAGTTTTGTGGCTCACGGATACAAGACATGGTCGAGTTATGTCCTTATTGTCTTAATGAAAAGGAAAATAATATATCATTATACTAAATTCTCCTATCCACAAAAAAGTAACATATATCTAAAAGTGATACTTACTATCATTGATTGATTTACAAGTGCATGTGTCACTTTTTTATGAGTAAAAGAATATAGTATTTCTATAGTAAGGCTGTTTTTTTTTCCTTCGGCTGAGTTTAGGTCCGTATCGAGTGTTTCTAGGCGTATATTTGGGGCCTTATTGGAGGGCAATATTTTTTCATTAATTTGTTTCATAGGATTTGTTTTCGTGGGCTTGTGTAAGTTGTTTCTTTGTTTTTGTTTCACAGTGCTTTTTTGTGGGCTTATTCGTTTAGGCTACCTTTTGGTATTTTTTTTGTATTACAAATGATATCTTATATTTTTTTTGTAAGAAACTAATCTTTTTTAGTGTGCGTGGCAGTTTCTTTCAACAAGTCTTATTTCCAGAAATTGAATCATTAACCTTTTGTTCAACCTGAAACTCTAACAAAGCTTTATACCACTAAGCCAAGGTGGTTTTGGTAAAGAAAAGAAGAATGTTTATATTGAATCCAAAATATTAACTTTATAGTGAGACTTTACGTAATATGGAATTTTACCTAGGTAATATACTATGAATGAAGGTGTTTATAAAAAAAAATATATTGATAGTGTAAAAAATTTATACACTATCAGCCTTTATTTATAATTCATTTTTAATTATTATTAACTCTTAAAAAACGTAATACAAATAAATGATAGATGATGTATTAATTGTGTATAAATTATTATACTAGCAGTGCATATATATTCAATCTTTCTTTAACCTTGCCCATGTGCACAGATAGAATAATATGATGTGTTGTTAAGTTATTAATAAGTGTGTAATATCTATGCACCATTATGGTAAATGTTTATATACACCTAATATATTATTCATCTATTTATTAATATTATTTTAAAGAGTCAGTGATAATTAAATGATATAATGACATTATATAAAAAAATATATCGTCAGTACATACATTTTTTTCTCTATTTATATTTGAGTAAATTATAATTTCATTTCAAAAATGGAAGAAATGTTCCATAGTTATCCAGATTTAACAGTAAATACAAATTAGATGGACGTTCCATATAGAATATTAGTTTTCTTGGAAATTTTATAAACTTATTATTTCTCACAAATGACAAATAAGAGAGAAAAACAATGAATGATGCATGAAAAATATAAGGTGTCTTAAAAAATTATAAAATACTACTTATAAATAAGCCCGATGTGCTTTTTTGAGCATTATAAAAAATAAGAGGATTCATTCTCCAAATATGATCATCTTACATATTTCTAGAGGAGATTCCAAAACATTTCTTATATCAAACACCACTTATAATACAGTTATTGAAGAACACATTAAATTTACAAATAAAATCAGCAAACTAAAGTCTTATTTCATGTCTCACTCTATGTATCAGATCAATCAAAATGCTGCTATATGAATAAAATAAAAAAATAAAAAATAACAAAAAATAAAATTTTAATTTGTCTGGGACATGAAATAAGACAGAGAGTGTGACACGTGATCTTTGTCTCTCATCTTCATATATATGTCATCCCAGTCTAGACTAGTAGATAATGAGTTACGAGACAAATATTTAAAAAATTAAAGGAAAATGTAATCTTCATTGACATATATATTCATTTAATGATAATGAAATTACATTTTCCATAAAAAACAAAGGAAAACATACGCTTGGATTTTTGACACATGGAAATGAATTATGGGAAAGCTTAGATATGTTGCACAGGAAAGTATAAAGGATATTTTTGAAAAGATACTTCCAATTCCACAGAAGTGACCCTAATGAAGGAAAGTGTGTGACATTGAAAAGTGTACATGTAGCACTCAGTTATCTTAATCTAGAAGCCCTTTTGGATTTTAGTTGCTACCAAAATATCCAAATAGGCATTGGTAGGCTCTTTATTTTCATGTCTTAATAACTCCAAGTGCATTCAAAGTGACACTGTTTCACTTTGATAAGAATGATTCTTAAGTTCACCAAAAACTCAATAAAGAAGTTTATAACTTTTCACTAGATGGGCTAGTGAGATAAATAAATGATTCTTCTTTTGACAATGATAGTTCAATGTGTAGTATCTTGGATATGATGAGTTTTTATTATAAGGCTGTTAATTACATGTACACATGCTTTTAAATTATCGTTCCAAAAATGTGGTTGTAATTATTGATCTTGATCCTTAATTATGGAGCAAATCTTATATGATTAGCTGGATTTGTCTTCAAGTATTTAGATATAACCAAGAAAGAAACACATGACCATTCACTCTATTGCAAATTCAATTCATGTGAGCGATATTTGTTGGGAATGATAGTCACACATCCCAAAAAGATTAATTTCTTATTTAAAAGGGTGAGAGTCGTAATATCCAAAAAAAATCTGCTCCAACTATGACATCTCTAAGGAACTTGGCAAAATAGCCTTGTAACTTCCGAAGAAGGGGTGCCTCCTCACAAAGGAGATCGCAGTGACCAGGCCCGGACGACTGTTTAACAAAAACACAGGTCTCTACAAAGTCGTAAGATCATGTATGGGGCTGATGCTTGTCCAGTGCCGGAAGGTCAAGGAAGGTGATGACCTGATGACATGGGAGCTGGCGACCGAAGCCCCGGTGAAAGGCGGGTCGTAGAGATTAATTCAATTAGAGCAAGTCTTTTGTAACAATTAGGCTGGAGTGGTCAAATGCAGAAGGACAAGAAGTAGTTCCTTCAAGCTTTAAGCATACCCTCCTCCTTGTCACCATGATATAAACAATTTCATCATACAAATTCTATTGTTGTGCTGAAAGCTAAATCCAGAGAAATTAGTGCTCCAAGCATAATTTGTTTGGTTTCTCAAATAAAAATGTAACATGCAACTAAAGACAAGTTATGCTTAAGATTTTCATGTAATTTCATTATGGTGCACAAGGTGTTTTCTCATCAATATAGTGAACAAAATCAAGAGATTATTGCTCCAACCATAATTTGTTTGGTTTCTCAAATAGTAATATAACTTGCAGTTAAAGAAGCTTAAGATTGTAAAAGTGTTTTCTCATCAACATAAAAAGATTAGACAACAAGTTAAGGCCAAAATAAAGTACTAGGGGTTAGATGGGTGGTTATGCACAAACTAAAAGGTCATAATATTGATTTCATTGTTCTTACAAATAGTACATATCCTTACCAAGTTATCATCAATGACATTGACACTAAAGTTCTACTCTAACTAGCTTTCTCAATCTATTTTCTACACACCTACAAACATAGGCTTCAAAGTGTGAACCAAAGTGAGGAAAATAACAGTAATTAATGTCTAATATCATATAACTTTCACCAATTAAGCTCTCCTATGCAAATGGGTTGGTCATGGTAGGTAGCAAACTTTGGGAGAAAGAAAAGGGCTATATTTTACTAGTCTTCTATCCACCCACCTTATATAATTTGAGAAATCAATTAATCATGGTGTACAATTAAGCTAAAAGGCTTATAAGTAAGAATTGACATTTACCAAACAAATGTTAGATTTAAAGGGACTATTGTGCTAAGGGTACTCTTACCTATGCCTTATTGTCTTCTCTAATATATATTTTGAGACACTCATTTGCTTGCAAGGGACAATGAGTTTGGAATATATAGTACTCTCTTACCACAAAATTGTTCAAACTAAGGGAGGGGGTAAGAGGGTCCCTCCATTTCTTTAGATTACTTTCACATGAGAGAGAAAGGGTGTGAAAATTGGAGTACAAGTTGTCTATGTCACTTTTCTATGTCACTTCTATGTGTCACCAATTATAAATTGACATGTCAATTAAAGTTGCACCATAATAACTAACCAAAAGTTAACAAAATATAAAGGTGAGTTTGTAATTGGTGGCATACAAAAGTGTCATAGACAACTTATGCTCTGAGAAACAAAAAAGAATATGAAGGAATGAAAAACTGAAAAGTTGGGTTTTTTTCTAAAGGAATGAAAAATTGAAAAGTTGGGTTTTTTTTTCCTATTAAGCAAAAGTTGGTTTGGAAACTTTTTTTTGGTTGATATGTCATCATCATATGAGTAAAGAACTAATCACTTTCGGAATGCATGATTGTCCCCCCAATAAGCGCGCTCTCATGAATCGATCCTATGACCCTTTAGGCATCAATAGAATCTAGCGAAACCTTTTATCACTAGACCAATACTTTGTTGTTATTCTTATCATGCTTTGCAATCATGTACATATGCATGATATTCATATAACTTCTTAAAGGAATATGTATTATGCCATTTTGTAGTAAGATAAAATCAAGAGGAGTTTTGTTTGCTACCATATTCAATAGGAGTGTCAGGTTTGTTGACTAAGCAAGAAAATGATAATATATAGATAAGCAATTAATTCTGGTCACATCTACAAGGACAAAAAGAAAGGTCACATATCTATTAATGAAATTCAAGTTAGTTCATTTACTAAGAAAGAAAATGATACTAATATGGTACAACAAGCTTAATATAATTGTATCACTGTTAGATACAATCTTCTAATTAAAGATGGTTGATTAGGTGGGACCATAGGCTTTCTATTTACAAAGAATTCCCAACATCTCAATCCACATAAAAGTGCTACATCTGAATTAACAGGGAAACAGAAACCTTCACTCAACCCACTCACGGATTTATAATGAATCATATAGCCATAATAGTAAAAAGATCTTCAAGAAATTAAAAAGCAAAATGATTTGGTTTTGAAATAAATGTTGAAGATAAAATTACTGCATAAGCATGTTTGCATAATTGAAGCTTAGTATGATGTAAATGTATATAAAAATGGCACATGATGAACAAGTTCCAATGCGTTTTTTAAATGATTAAAGCACAAGAGTAAATAATATTTTAGGAGTAATGATATATTTTCCTACTAATTATCTTACTCACAAAAAGTGACATATATCACTTGTAAATCAATCACTAATAAATAAAGTATCACTTTCTGATATATGTTACTTTTTTGTGAATAGAAGAATTATTAAGAGAATTTAGTAGGATGATATATCATTTTCCATATTTTAGTATCATTTTTATGCTAAGTATAAAGATTTATATTATATCGTTCACAAATCATTTTGTATTACTTTTTGAAAAGTCAATAATAATTAGACATAAATGACGAGTGATACAATAATAATATATAAAACTCTTACAATATTAATAAATACATTTTTTTTCTCATAATATTTTTTAAGATTATGATCTCATATTCTCATGACCCACAATATGATTAGTATAGTTAAAAATTGTCTAACACAAATACTATCAATAATAACAATTTGATTCAAAGTTAATTTTTGTTGTTGCAAATTTATGCTTTAAGAGATCTCGAATCCCCCAATTCCTATCCCACATTGATTTGGATGAGATTTGGTTGTTTGCTATTTAACTTTCCCAAAAGAAGAGCCATGGCAACCATGAAACCAATTCTCACTAATACAATTTTAATTTAAATATATAAATTATATAATAATATTTTATATCTATAATGTTCTTTACTTCATTATATTTTAACATTATATTGTACCAATCAACAACATCTCCACATAAAAGGGCAAACCATTGTTCACATGTGGCTATATCCCATTTGCTAAGTGTTCTTGCCTTTCCAAATTAAAATACATAATATGAAGGGAAAATGCTTAAATGAAGATCATCTGTCTCAAAAATAGTGTTAAAATGTATCCCGACCTACTAAAAAACTGTCACGTAATTAATATGAAAATTAAAAAAATAGAATTTTTTTTACATTACTTGGTGCAACATGATTAACTTGAGATATGGAGATAGAAATTTTTCGGGACAAATGATCTTTTATTCCTAAGGAATCTATAATATAATATTTTCTCCCTCTTCATATGTTTATTCATAGTTTCTCATACAATGTACTTATGATTTTCACATAGTTTCTCATACCATACCATGTACTTATGATTTTCACATATTTAATGAAGAAAGAAAAATGTTTTCCACCCATTTGTACCATTGAGAATTACCCATGTTAGGTTATGTGCCTGAAATATCCACTTTGATCGTTTCTTAAACATAAAACACCAACTATATACATCATCATTGTGAATATTTTATTTGTACACCTAACCTTTTGTTTGTACAATTCCTCTTCAATTGTATGGGTTGAGTATGTGAGCATGTATATTTTTTTCGTGAAATGTGAATGCAGTTTTCAATGCTAACTAATAATGACATGATATTTTTTTAAAAGAAAAGTTAGTATTGTATTATTGAATTTGACAATGATAATATATTATATTCATTCATATGTCTATATAGTGCATTACCTTATCTAATTTCGTCCTAGTAAAAGTGCCATATCTCATGAAATGTTAAATTCAGTAGCAAAATTGAGCATTGTTATGTAAAAAATGAAGACATGTTTACTCAAAAAAATTAATAATTAAGCATAATAAGATGATATATATATATATATATGAATGGTAGATAATATAGTTTCGGTTTATAAAATTTAATGTGTTATTTATGACAAATATAATGTTGCCATAGTCAATGTATCTTTATCTTCTTTTCATGTTATTTCATTTCTTTATCCCTCACGCTAAGAACCTAGCCCATGTCTCTAACATCAATAATACTTACTCCATAGTGCAAGACCCCATAATAAGGATTGTTTTTTTTAATGTTTATAATATAATTTAGTTTAAGAAATTAAATAGTATGCAATAAAGAAATGAGTAGACTACCCCACGCTAGATTTGGGGGTATTGACCATAAACCCTTTAAAGATCTTAGCACTTCTTTCTAGGTATGAAAAATGACAATGCAATAAGATAAAAGAAAAACACCCCCTGTAAGAGATAGCAATTTCAGTTGCTAGCTCCAAATTTATCATTGTCATTTGTCACTTTGAATTTTGAGTTTAAAAAAAATGGAAAAAGCAAGATTTTGAAATTGATAAAACCATTAAACAAAAAGAAGAAAAATAATAAGGGGAATATATTCATATATTTCTCTCTTCATGCTTGCTTGTTTAAGATTTTGCCCAATCATATTGGTTTGTCTAGTAATGCAAGACTCTGCTATATTCTTAAAAAAAAATCAAAAATTAAATGTTCGATTTCTAATAGTAATACTTGTTAGGCGGTATAGTCATGCACTTCGAGAAATATTAATTTCATACCCAAAAAGATTAGGGGATACATTTTGTAGTAAAAATAATAATAATTAATTTGTGTTATATTTCACTGTTCATACCAGAGTAATAATATATATTAATAATAACCCAAAAAAAAAATATATATACTAATATAAAAGTGACTATATTTAACTGCAAATTATCCTACATATCTTAGTTATAAATTAAAAGTATCTATAAAACCAAAACATAATATAATTATTATAATGAAATAATTTTCACTTTTAGCCTCTCTTTGTTATAGGTGAATTATAGTGGAGAGAAAAGGAATGGAGAGAGTTTGAGGAGAAAGATAAATTTTCTCCCCTTTGGTTTAGAATAGATAAATGAAGAGAAAAAGAAAAAGTAGGTGAGACCCACCATAAATATTTTCTCTCATATATTGGTGAGAAAGTGAAGAGAAAATAAAAAAATTGGTTTGAAATGTCAAAATGTCCTTCATTTTTTTCTTTAGTTATTGATTTTAAATACTACAATGTACATAAGTCTAATTTGAATA